GTGAGGATCTAGAAGTTTCGGTATTTTTCCAAGGATCATGACCAGTTTTTTTATTATATCTTTTGTATAACCTGGAACGAATTTTATCCGTCAAAATGCTTGGTAAGTCGGTTAATTTAGCTTGCCAATCCAAATATTTGGGAGTTAATGTTTTATTGGACTTGGTTGTATTCATGTTGCTGTTTTATATGACTGCACATCACTTTAAATTAACAATAGCCAACAAAAAATAAAAATGCCTCAGAGAGACACCCTAAAGACTTAAGCGAATTGCATTAGCATAAGATAAAGTTCATGCTGTTACCTCAATTTCAATTCCACGCTGTTCACATTTAATATAGTAAGATCCAGCTTTATAATTGCCTTCTATACCTTCCTCATCCTCATGAATTAACTTACATATCGGACATAATGACTCTGCAGTAATCCCATAATAATTAACATCTTTATTACTATATTCATAATATAAATCGGGATATCGCTCCAATGTTTTGTTACGAAAACTTACACGGGAATAAGCTGGATTGAATTGAGCTATGAATAATAGATTTACCTGAGTTATCGGTGAGACTTCCTTGGTAACGGGTTTTAGCACTCCATGCCAGCGAGCACCGAGATAGGTGATATACTAACATTGGTTTTTGAATCGAAAAGATTGGAGATTAGTGACTTGGCTAGATCACTTACTTTAATTTTCAGAGATATATGGTTTGATCGTGACAAATTTGTCACGGTTTTTGAGGTCACATAATCTATAATATTTTGGATTTGGGCATTAGTTAATCCTGAAATAGTACTTGCACCATATATAACCTGTTTGATTTTAGCTATACCTACTTCTCCTTTTCCAAATAGTTTAAGAATTTTCCGGGCTCTCTGAGTTTTTTTATGTAAATTTGAATCTGTAATGTGGGGGAGAAAAGGTTTCATTTTCTTATATATTTTTGTTCTTGCTGTTTTATCTTTAATCTTGTAATCGGCTATAAGACTTTTAACTCTGTTTTCAAACTCAAAGGAATAATAATACTAACATAAAATTTCTTCTTGACTCTTTTTAACTGCTTTATTAAACAAATGTGATAAACTTTGTGCAGAGCCTGGGAGCTCGTTTTCCATATTTTGAATATAAGATTCATCAATTTCAACATCGGATAATATAGAGGTATTTTGGCACTGATTCTGGGACAATTCTTGCATTAGACCTTGCTCTACGACTTGGTTCGTGTCAACCTCATTAATTTCATCATCTTGCTCTAATTTGGATACTTCAGAAGATATATGGTCTGATCATGACAAATTTGTCACGGTTTTGGTGTCATATGATTTTGGTTGGGATCATTTTTTCAGATTACCACATGGTTCTTCCTCTGTCTCAGTATCTGAAATCTTATTGCAATCGGCTGACATTGAAGAAGCATTGTGTGAAACTTGGGCTTGAATCTTCTTCTCCCTGTTTCTCTCTCTCATCTCGTTACTAACCATTTTCTTGTTTTCCGAATCCATAAAAGAATCATTCTCCTTTTCTTCCAATGATTTTGGATATCTTTGACAAGGCTGAGGTAAATTGACTGGTGATACTTTTGGTATCGGTTCTTCAGGAATAAAATCATCTATTTCCATATCTGATACCTTTGGTACCCCTTCCATTAACTTGGTGTTGGCATTATTTTGTTGGTCTACTACAGGGTTGGATAAATCAACAGCTGATACTGAATTATCTATAAATAACTGCACCTCTGGTATCGCTTCCTTACCATTCTGTATTTCAACCAAGGAAGCCTGTTCCAATATCGCAAGTCTAGCTTCAAGCTTTGTATTCTTTTGTTCTAGTTCCTTGACTCTGGCATCGTGCATCATATTTTCCTCAATAATCTGCTTCAACTTCGCATTCTCAGCCTCAAGTACAGGAATCTTATCGTTCTCCTTTCTAAGCTTGGCAATCTCAGCTAAAAGTTTAGCATTTAATTCTCTTAATGAATCGATAGTGTGAATATTTTCCATTATTTTTATAAAATACAGGTATATTCAATTTAATAAAAATTACGTGTGCGTTATTTTTCGTAATGCAGATGCCAAGAAAATTTTTAAAAATTCTCGATCATATATGAGTAATGTATATTGATAATAATACAATAAAATAAATTCACTCAATATACACGCCAAAGTAAACGTGATTATTTATGCAAAATTGAGCCACTAGACCAGCTTTATTGTTATAAAAAATTGCAATATTAAGAACTACAAGATAATATACCATTTGTCGGTGAATAAATGCACTCGCAAAAACTTATTTATCTATCAAACCTATCCTATGGTGGCTAACCTACATAATTTACTATATAGTTCTTAATCTGTACGTTGCCGTTTTTGCGATTCAATTTGTAGATCATAAACCCACTTAATTTGTTCTAGTAAATCGTTAATAGGTTGTACCAGGTCATCATGAGTTAATGATCGCTTATTGATAGGTAGTGCCACAGGTAACTTGGAACTCCAATAAACTTGAACATCCCCATTCTCGTTATCATTCTCATTACTTAAGATGATCTTGGTTATTATCCAATCGACTCCTAATATTAGAAACATCAAGATTAAAAGTAATTCTGCTTCAACACCCAACAAGATGGTGTCATGAGCCCTACCGGTTGTGACAACGCCGTACATTACATGTCCATACATATCAGCTTCCTCATAAGTATGCTTTTTCCTATTTCATTATAGGGATGCGTGGGCTTGGATGGTACTTTGAGCGATACCTTGATCAATGTTTTCTCTTTTTGCCTCAGTCACGGAGATAATTGTATCCTCCACCTTGATCGCCCAGTCGATTGGTCCCTTGCCATGGCTTCCAGATACCTCATATTGAGGATAAACTTTTACAATACCACCAAACATCGATGCAACTTTATAGATAATTCGCGAAATAAATTCACAACAGGTTGCTTCATTTATACCCACAATAGATGGTGATGCCATATATATTTCTAAAATATTTTTAATCACATCATCTCCAAGCGCCTCATTTATTTCTGAAGTTCCTTCTGTAAAACGTGGCAATTCTACATAGCTATCAGCTTTCAAACCGAAAAGAACTTTCATCTTTGGGAAAGTATAGGATGAGAACGGTTGCTGTGCTGGTTAAACGAAATGTAGATGTTTAACGAACCTGACACATATAATATATATGCATTTGGCAAACCAAGCATAAATATAAAATAAACATTACATGTATCTACAATGATCGCTAAATCAATCTTGGGGCTAGCAGTCCAAACTATGCTCATTAAATCTTCGTCAGTAGACAAATGAATTGACTTACGTTCTACTGATTCAACTTGCGAGTCTGATTTTATTTGGTCAGAATTTTTTGAGACCTCATTCATACCAGGTTTTGTTTTCTCTATATGCGGAGTTGAAATTTTTCTTTTTATAGGTGGAAAGACGTCCAACACATGACTTATTATAATATGCTCTTCTTCTGTCTCATCTGGGAATGTGAAGTATTCCTGTAGTTTTTTTTTCAACCCTGCTAAAGACACCATCTCTCAGGTTATTGTCCACTGGAATTTCGCTATTTTTCTGTTATATGATGCAGTGCAATGGACCTCCTTCGTTACAACATAAGTATTGAGCATTTTGACAAAATCTGCTATTACTATTACTGGTCCTTCCGAAATTTCCCACTTTTCAAGTTTGTCTTCAGTCAACCTAAGAAATGCTGTGCCATTAAAATTTTTATTCTTGATTATTTTTATATCATCGTCATTGAGGCCAAAATATTTTTTTTCGCTAAGGAATTTTACAATATCATCATGTTCCCATTTCTCGACAACTTCGGCTGATGGAAGAGGTTCTTCATGCCAACGATACCAGCAGGACATAGTTTTGTTTTTAAAAATGTGAGAAAAGTTTGGTTGATGACAAAAGGTTTTTATTACGTAATTAAAAAAACAGGTGATGATTATGAGCTGTAAAATCCAGATTTAACTATTCGGACTTTAATCATCACGTGTTTTTAAACTGGTGCTTGTTTACCATCGCTATCTATATGTGTTACATACGTACCCATACTTAAATAAGACATCTGCTCTTCAATTGACATGATGCCGATCGGTAACCAAAATTTTATGATCCGCCTTTTTATATTCCATTTCCAGTTACGCAAGCTGAAATGTTCCAGAAACTTTATGACGAATGTGATATGAATTTCGAATTTTCAAAAAATCACGTTATTTTCAAATTCCGATCGCCGTATTTTTTTTATTCAGATTAGGATTCTTACTACGATCACGGAAAGAGAAATTTTACGGCAGTTCACTCCAATTTGTTTTCAGAATGAATGCATTCAAAAATTAGATCACGGTAATATTGACCGAGAAATATATTTTTTATTTAATGTGATCATGATACTATTATCATGGTTACACGAGGCGCCGGATTTCAGTAGGTATTACTGTTACTGTATTATTAATTTCGATGACATAATACTGTAATAGATTTCCTTAGAGAATTTTCACATTCACACTGCCTATATATGCCATTCGCTACTTTTTTACAGGTTTTACAATATAGGTGTGAATGATGATCGCATTCGTCACAAACCTTACACCTGTGCTTCCAGCCTTAAAGATATGCCACTTTTCGATGTAATTTCAATTTTTTTTATTTGTTAATATGTTACTCTTATCTTTCATTGTTATATATTAGCCGAAAAAAATATATACGTGTTCTAAATTTTTTATCATTCAAACCT